CACACACACACACACACACACACACACACACACACACACACACACACATACAACTTAATTCATGTATCTGCTTCTTTACTTTGTTTTCCATTTATTAGGGAGCCTTGGCTTCTGGTTGATTTTAGGATACATTTGATCAAATATGTCTGCTTGACTGCACGAGTTCCAGTGCGAATGGAAATAGAGAATCTTACAGCAGCCAGTAGTTGACCTCCAGTCCTCCAGGGTCACGTTGGCTTCCAGGCTGCAGGCCTTGGCGTAAGCCTCCAAAAAGTGGCAGTCGACCCCATCCACTGACGGGTAACTGCACAGAGTGTGTGTGCAGGCGCTGATGTACGGCTCTGGGTCGGTGTGCTCGTGACAGGCGGAGAAGGGAGGCTGCCTCATGAGATTACAGCTGTTCAGAGGGAAGAGTTTTCCGTGTTACATTGGTTGATCTTGCAGAAACAACGCTGCTTATATGGCATGACAAGACGAGGGTGTTCATGGCTCAGCTCTTACTGGTCGGTGGAGCGGTTGCAGTTGATGGTGCTGTCGACTGAGTCCTGGGATTGAATCTCACAGCTAGAGGGAGACAAAGATCACATCACATCTGAACCCTAATCATGACAAATAGGTAATATCAGTCAGACTGAGCGGTACCCAGGGAGGCTGACAGAGGACTTCTCGGCAGTCAGGCTGGTGGTCCAGCTGGAGTTGGAGGGGCTGCCACACAAACCCTCTACAGCTTCAGGAAGTCCTGGTGGATGTGAGGGTACAATTAAAGCTATGCTTCAGAAATAAATATGTAATATTCAGTCCAGATTGGAAGTACTGTTCTGTACCTGCCACATGTGCGCTGTTGCCATCAAAAAAGAGAGTCATGTTGGAGGACGGGAACTTAGCAGTGACTCCAGTCTGGTCCTTGGAGAGCTCCACGCCGTGCATCAGCTGAGCTGTGCTGTTGAGCACCAGGGCTTCACCACCAACCTACACACACACACACACACACACACACACACACACACACACACACACACACACACACACACACACACACACACACACACACACACACACACACACACACACACACACACAGAGGGTTTGTGATACACCACCACAAAGTAACTCCTAGCAGGAAATGATCAGCATTGCTTGAGCACCCATAACTACAACGTGCTACCGTACCCGAACTCTTCCTCCTTGCTCCAGATACATGGTCACACCTGGCAGCGACAGGATCAGGTGGTCCAGAAGAGGAACATCTGTACGCCGGCGCTCCCTGAAGGCGGCCGTGAGGTTGAAGCTGGCGCTGCCTTCAGGCTCCATCAGACTGTAGGCACAGCGATCCTGGACAGAGTGCACTGCTCCGTGGAAACCAATCACCGTGGAGCCCGTCACCGTGCACACCACCGGAGGAATAGCGCACCTGATGGACATTCAATTCAACATTCAATTCAAAGGGTTCATTGTCATATGCACAAAGCTGCAGTGTAGAGATGGCAATGACATGCTTCGGACCTGAGCTCCTGCAACGATGCAACATATATAATAAAATACAAACATAAAAAGTAGTGCAAAAAGTCTATAAACATGTAAATAGAATATGATATGTAAAAGAAGACATGGAGAGGGACTCACAGTCTGGGTCTTTTTAAGACAGACATACTTTACACTCATCCTAAACTCAAAGGAAATGAACCCTTCTCAAAGTTCACAATATGACATAAAGGTCAGTAGAGTTACATTCAGCCTGTGAAACACGTACAAATATAATAATATCTCTCATAAATACGTGTGGAATACTAAACATCTTGAAGTATTTTATACAACAGGCCATACAGGGATATTGTGTTGCATTATGGGTAATGCTCAACTCTACTTGGGACAACCCGGATATCTGCGGTTTGGTCTAATGGACGCAGCACTACAGTACTGATGGAGCTGGCCTCGGAGGATTGAAACATGTGTAAAGCATGAAGGAGAGGTCAAAGGATCACTTTATAGGAACACTGCACACACACCGAGACGCTGTGCATCCATTTGGATCTCTTTTCAGAAAGTGTCCATCACGAGGCCCACCATGGCAAAGAAGTGCAATGGGAAATAAGTGGAGAAGGTTTTTTAGGATTTATAGACTGAACCGTTCCCCAGCTGATCAGAAACAATAATGGATGGACTTGAAAGCCCTTTCCACTGAAATGAGAGCCGTGTTAGTTGGGACGGTTGGTTCTCAATGTTGGACCAGTTACCTGTTCATCCGACAGCACTGTTTACGTCCCTGCATTTTCCAGCAAAGCCAGCTCAGGCAAAAACTACAGCAATGGCGGGCTGCATTGGAGCTGTGCTCTCGTTGCTCTTCTTCAGATCCAGGTTGAACTGTTCCCACTAGGATTCAGAGGCATTCCCCGTTGCTTTAGTGACAGTCAGTAATTCACTGCTGACTGTCTCTAAAGCAACAGATGCAGATTTCCCCAGTGATTCATATTTTGTTCAGTTTTAATGTGCAATGTTTGACGTTACCTGCAAACGTTTCCCTGTATCATATGGATGATGTTAGCATAGCCAGTCTGATGAAGCAACAACCAGATTAAGAGCCATCAAACTAAATTAAACGTATTTAAAATAATAACACATGATGAACATTAGATGGTTACGGCGTTTTAATTATTCTCCATAAATGCACATGTTGCTATCATTGTGTCATTTGTCGTTTCTACCGGCGTTCTTTCAATAGGATTTCACTTGTGATCTGATATGACAACGTGTGTAGCCTACGGTATGAAGTGATCACACCTGAAAGCTGGTTTAAAAACAACAGGAGAACGGGTCGTGCTGCTCCTCAAAGCGGGCCATGAGAGCGAGCGTATCTCTACGTTTGCCCGGGGAAGGTGGCGGGACATAAACAAAAGTGTGAGTCTCGTTTTGGTCACTTTGCTCGGCTCTAGTGATCTGACCCAGCCTCCACACAGATCTGGTTCTTGGTTCCAGTCCAGCACAGCTCTGGTTCCTAACACGAACCAGTTTTTCTCATGGAAACCATGAAAGGACTGGAGAGCTATCGGGCACTAGCTCTGAACTGACCCTGGAACTGCTTTGGTGGAAAGGGGTGATAGAAATAGGATCAGATTCATCAATAACTGCAATAATCCTCAGGTGGATAATATCCTCACTCTCTCATGGAGGGTTCGATCACATGGGACACTTTATTCAAATCAGTCAGACCTTTATTCCTGATAGAAAGAGCACATATTTACATGTTGTCCGCTTGGCAAACCTCCTCGGGCCCACATGCTGTGACATTAGCGAGGACTGCAGACAGAGAACACAGTTCAACAGAGCAGGGCTCTGCGCTGGGCCCTAAGTTGGGCATCTCTGAACCCGGCATTACAGCGCCACCTTGGAGGAGAATGGAGGTAATGATATTACACTTCAGTGACTACAGGCAGATTTTAAGATAGACATGTTTTAATATCACATTTCACTTAGAGGATCCCTTTCTTTGGGAACCCCCAGACCAGCTTACCTGAGCCTCTGCATCCACTCAGGTCTCGAAACAAAGCTGGACCTGCAGGAGGCTTCCAGGTATCCATCACTGTGCCACCGACTTTTGTAGACAGTTCCTAGTAAATGATTAAACAGAATGTATTTGTTTGCATATTATTTATTTAACAGGGACATTGCACACTAAGAACCATTTCTGTAAATGTGCCAGAGTTAGCCAAGAGGCTCTTTTACACCTGTAGTCCCTGGACAGATGTTTGAACCTTAAAAACACATTTCAAATAACTAGTAAACACAATAATTAAAAACAAAGGTAACCTCAATACTGTAAACATGAATGAAAGTGTTCTAGAATCCACTTGTGATATATTTCCTCCGATGTTAGGACATGAAATGACAGTGAGAGCAGTGGGGAGCTCCTTCATTATTCCAGATTGATATTTCTAATGAACTCCTTTGTCCACTTGAGGGCAGGATGGAGCAGAACCACCTGGTGCTGTGAGTCCAGCCTGCCCCGTTAGCTCTGCATGCTAGCAGCTACATGTGGTGTCACTGATAATAACTCTCTTTGTCTTCATGCTAACACATGATGCTGAGTGACTTCTGCTTCCTGAAACTCTAAGGCTGAGTATGACATTATTTCTGACACCTATCTCTGTTTAGAAGTGAACATAAGAAGAGAGTTTTAAAAGGAGAGGCTTAGAGGAGCAAACAGACTGCACGGTGTCTTCTCCATTCACCTATCCTTGCTGAACTGAAAGCTTGTTCTGTATTCATATGAATGATGTCTGATGGTGAGACAAAGGAATAATGGATCACACACAGCCTCAGTTCTCATCTCTCAGGGTGGTTAGGGTACAGAAGTCTTCTCAGGGATCAGTTCTCATTCAGAGTGCGTGTGAGGAAGGCTGGAAGACAGCAGCTTTCTAACATAAAGGATTTAGGATATGAGTTTCCCTGGCACACAGAAACAAACAGGAACACATTGCATTGGTATCGGGACCTGACAAAGTGTAACTCTCAACATCGGTGAGGCTGAAGGGTTAGGGTTAGGTAAGAGTCTCATGTCATACTTACTAAACTAGCAGAAAACGGAAGGCCAGCACCATGAACAGTGTTGCAAGCAGCTTGTAAACCATAATTGAAGAATGACAACTGCATCTGAAAGCAGGAACAGAGAGAGAAATATTAGGAAATGCTTTTACAAATAAACTTTGATTTGAAGTTGTCTTTGCCACACAATGTCTTTGAAATGTTAATTTTGTACAAACAGCTGGACAGCCAGTCGGTGTGTAACAGGGATCGGATCAGGACTCACATTCAATGTTTTACCATTGTAGAACTGGAGAAAAACGATACCCAGTCCCTGGGTTTTGATGTTAATAAGATAAGGGTGAGCGCGAAATGACGTAACAATCACAGTGTACGTCATTTTGGTTGAAACCATCTCGCTGGTCACCACACAGTCAATGTCGTCCTCAGATGGGTCATTTTTTAAACAAACTTCAGTCTTATTGCCGATCTTCGCCTGAAAAAACAAAAAGGGAACAACAATATGAAGGCTTTCGCTCCAAAACAGCATCGTTTCCTCTCCTCAAATGTTTGAGCTGCAAGGTGTGCTTTTAGCTACGGAGAAAAAAGATAGGATCAATGATGAGATCAAAACATTTCTCTCACTTTGGAAAAAAGCTTTCTACAAGCCACTGTCCAACAAGTCTTTATGTGTCCTTTCATACAGAGACACATGAGGAATCAAAGAGACGCGTCCAGCTGCTCCAAACCACTTCCTGTTGGCTCTAGTAATGATCTGTCCCCACTCCATTGAACTGATCTGATCAGTGCCTGACCCCATAGACCCCAGAGGGGAATGTTACGCTCACTTTCCAGCTCAGGACCAGACTCACAGTGATGCATTATGGGACCAAGCCTGTCTCAGAGCGTCTGATATTGAATAATATGAGGAGAAACTTTCATAATACCCAAAATAACAGCTGGCACAAAAAGCACACTTTAAACTTTGTGTGTAAAACTCAATTCATTCTCCGCCTTTAGCAACATGTCATTATTCATGTGCTCCCATATTTACAGGCTGACACGCTGAAAGGTAACAAACCGCTTACATCTAGATATAAAGAAGATCAAGACAAAAACACTAGGGACTGATTCTGAGGACTGTGAGTGATAACATATTAAACAGTGAGTTATGTGTCATATCTATAATAGCTTTATTATGTGTAGTGTTGACAGTTCTGCTGTGTAAGTGGCCGTGACAGACCTGACCTTCACCTCACGACCTCTATTGAGCTACCATTGATAACAAGATGCTCCATTGGCTGGAAATAGAAAGGATGTAGTTTCCATCATGTCTGTTCAGACATGTGAAACCAAACATGTGAAACTAGATGGAGCATTCTGAACTTTTGATCTGTTCATGAATTCAAGTATAAAGTTTCTATATTTCAAATGGAAAGGTTTAAAGAAAAACCCCTGATTCTAAACATGACATTGACAAAGTGTTCTGCTCTCATAACTTTGCTTCATATTCCCTCTCTTTCAAATGACATGGCATTACTATAAGTCTTTATTTGTTTTATTTTTAAACCTTACATGTTTTAATGTTCAATGATTAAAACAGTTGTGACCTCCTTCTGACTCAAAGAGAGGAAGGGGGAGACCACCTGACGCAGAGAGGGAGGAGGAAGAAGCAGTGAAGAAGAATGGAGGAGAAGGAATGAGACGGCTTTAGAACATTTGACTTGTGAGCCTGTTGCTTTTGTATTTTGACTTGGTGTCTTATTGTTTAGGATTCTTGTAATCCTCTATTTCTGTTAAAACCTTAATACTTTGTACACTTCGACCCAACTCCTGGTCTCTCTCGTGGTCTCTGAAGGTATCTGCTTGGTCTCAGAGTGAGGTAAGAACACCCTTCCTTGGAAAAGGCTGACATTAGTATTGAATAGAAACCCTGTTTAAGTTAAACTATAGTTCCATTGGTCACTGTGGTTGATGTGGTGTTGATTGATGTTGAGATATGATATAAAATGGGGGGTTAGGGATTGTGGGTCCTGAAGCTGCCCTAATTACCAAGGGGTCTCCCAACGACAGAGGGATTCTCCTGCAGGGGCAGATACTGCTCTGGGGTTCTACCAGCCCACCAACATCTACTACACTACACACTCCGTGTTGCTATTCTAGCGGTCGGACATCCGAAGCTGGAGTGCCTAAAATAGGGATACGACGGGCAGTGTTAGAGGCCACACAGTCAGTCAGGGGGTCATTGTACTCACGTGTAACAATGTGTAGGTTTTTCCATAGAAAGTGATGGGAGCGACGCTGATGTTGATGTTTCCACCAGGAGCATTCAGAGTAACAGTCTCAGAGGCAGAGAGCTCCATCTGGCTGGCAGCAACTGCAGGAGTTCCAGGAGAAACACATCCATCAAGAACAACCTGAACACTCATCGTTCCCTGAAGCCTCTCCTCTGACTTGAAGTGACACTCATCAGTGCAATGAGTGAATAATGATATCCTTATTTGTTCTGTAAAACATGTGCTCCTTCAGGGTGAATGTATACAGGGGATCTGGGTTCTGTGCCATTCATAAATACAAGTGGTTGAAGGCTAACCCCCTCATTAACTGAAGCCATCAACATGTTGAATAAGAGCTACCCGTTCACATTGATATTGATTTAATGGATGAGCTCATGTTTTAAAAGTCTATCATTCAAACATTATCTTGTTTTATTTGCACAAAGCAGACAGTAGAGTAGTGCGGGGCTATTACACACTCGCAGTGACTCTATGCACAGAGGACTTGACTTTGAAACGCATTCATAATGCCTTTCAAACACATGTTGTTTGTCACAGTGAAGCCTGCGATGCTGCTTACCTGCCAGCAGGAGGAGCAGCTTCATGACTCTGCAGAGGAAGAGGCACAAACACCGGGTTAACGCACCATAACACACAATAACAGCGTACACAATGAAGGGTCCTCGGCAGGAAGTGGTTCATACACTTCCTGAAGATTCAAAACAATGTTCTCTAAACCCGTCAAATGCTCCCTGACTGGTTCCCTGATGCCACCAGTTTAGTGATGCAAAGAGTCTGTGAGCAAAACTGAGACATTGAGATAAGAGCATGAAATGTTTAAAGTGCATGTTGTTCATTTATTGAAATGAACCTAGCAATAGAGCCAACTGTTTGGTATATGTTAAAGGTCTCCTGTTATACTATTCTTAGGCATATATTATAGCTTTCAGAGATATCAAAAACATGTCTCTGAAGTGCTTTGCTCCAAAGCCCAAACAGATCATTGCAGCCTCATCCCCCTCTATTTCAGGCCTGCGACTAAAGAGCTGATTCTGGGTCAGTAGCTTCAAACGTACCGGAGCTGCTGCTGGCCACGCCCCTTTGTGAGTCTCCTGACACACCGGGACACATATGTATGTATGAAAGCATGATAGGTGACCTTTAAGTTAATGCAATGTATGTTTTTTTACAACTTCAAAGTGTTGTGTTAGTTGTACTTAATAAACAAGTTGTTCCTACTCACCATACTAACTTAACTTAGTGATTGTGAGGCAATGAGTTTGCATACTTTTTTTAAATGACCACAACTTATTAAGTTTTACAATGTACGTTCTTCTACAGCAAAAAGTATTTACCTCTATTAGTCTTCTGTGCACTTTTCTGTACTAAACTACTTCCACATCTTCAACCCACAAACTCGGTTCAAACATCAAAACGTTAATCTCAGTTAGGAATGCTATGAATAATATTCATCATAATTCATCCACATGTCACTACAGAAGTCAATGGAGAAACTGTTAAGACTTCAGCTGCTAAGTGCTCCTCATACTTTACTCAGAAAGCTCAGCATTCAGCATTCACACGGACCTCTCTTCAGGATTCTCTGTGTTTCTGAAGGGACTGGTCCCTGCACCGAGTCACAGGAGGCTTCCTGACGGAGCTGCAGGACCGTGAGGAGAAAGAAGTGGAGACTCACCGTCTGGAGGTCCTGGAGGTCCTGGAGGTTTGGGGCAGCTGATGATACTCTTGAGGTCCTGGTCCTGGAAGTCCTGGTCCTTCAGGTGCAGCTCTGATGTGGCGCTGTGTCTCGCTCCGTCTGTTTTTATACTGTTGCTGCTCTTCCAGCCCCTAAAGACTGATGCAAACATTCCTGAAAACTTCTCAGTCTGGTTATACGTGTAATTAAAATTTCAGAACACTTGCAGATGTTTCCTTCTCTACGTGCAAATATCCAACCCAGTCTCACAAGAACACGTGTCATAGTGACGTTGTTCCACAGGGCAAGACGTAAAAGGTTCACTAATATTGTCTGTGAGTGTTTAAGTGTGTGTGTTTGTGTGTGTGTGTGTGTGTGTGTGTTAACATAAACTTAGGTTTATTTAATCTCCTCAATAATAACAGACATTTCACACTTTATTTGTAGGCTTTAGGAGATATCTACAAATAAACAGTAGACATTAGTCATGAAAACATATAGTGCTTCACATAATAAAATATACAAGGGCTGTAGCCTGATATTTAGTATATGCTTTAGGAGCCGTTTGTGTTTGTTGTACAACGTGTAGGTGTGTTGTGTAGAGTGTATGTGTGTGTTGTACATTGTGTTTCTTGTAAACTTACACAGTTGGTCTTTTAATATAGCCATTTATTTCTCAAATAATAACTTTATTTATATATCACATCACAACTTTTTCAAACTTTCTTGACTTTATTAACAACAATAATTTCTCCTTCAGTGGCATCTGCTGTGTTACTCAATTTTCCATTTGAACTTTAATTTGATTCTTAAAAAAGAAGGGATTTCGCAACAGGACAATGCAATAACATTCAACAAAGCAATTCAACACTAATAAAAGAAGGAGGTGTTCCATCAGATGTTCCCTCTGAGTCTGTACACACAGTCCAACAACATAATAATACATCTGTGCTGTCAGTTGATCAATGCTGGCTATAAATCACGCTGAGAGACACTGGAGTGTGAGGTCCTACTTAACAACACTTTCAAATGCAGGGACAAAACAAACAGTGTGTGTGTTTGTGTGTGTGTGTATGTGTTAACATAAACTCAGGTTTATTTCATCTTCTCACGCATGTTCTGCACTCCAACATGTGACTAGGCCAAATTCCACCTGCGGCACTTTAGCCTCGCGGAGGGGGGGTCACATGTTTCCTTCTCTGCAAATATCCAACCCAGTCTCACAACAACACATCTAATAGCGACGTTGGTCCACAGGGCAAGATGTACGATGTTCACTAATATTTAGGGGGGGGGGGGGACATGTTTCCTGTGTTTTCTCTTCATGCACGTATCAGGTTTAGAAAAGCTAACAGGGTCAATAGCAAGTGAAGTGTGATCAGAATCAAATAATGAGAGGACGTGTGGACATTATGGGTTAGGGAGAAGCTGAGAGGAGCACTGGCTCTCAGGGATGAGTGAGTGTTCACAAAAACTCCAAAGAAAGCCATAAAAGGGTTTGTAAACGCCCTATTCAAAGATGTGTCAATAGAAGCTAAATGAAGAGTGTGCCGGAGACCCTCCTACGGGAACCACTGAGACCTGGGATTCAAGGCAGCAGCATCAACAGAATCATGAAAAGAGAAGTGCTTTCAAATAAAGTTTGACCTTACTAAATGAAAACATGAGAGGAATAAGAGTACATCAAAACACAATAGTAAGAAAGGAACAAGGTGTGATTAAAAACCAATGAACCCAGGTCTCTGGAGACCCTCAGGTCGTATTCATTGGATCAAATAGTTTTCCGGAATCCAAGTGAGAGGGATGGCTTCATCATGTGGGTTATTTGTGTCTGTGAGTGTGTGTGTTAGTCAGCGTGCATCTGTGAGTGTGTGTGAGAGAGAGTGGTGTGTGTGTGAGTGTGTGTGTGTGTGTGTGTGTGTGTGTGTGTGTGTGTGTGTGTGTGTGTGTGTGTGTGAGAGAGAGTGGTGTGTGTGTGAGAGTGTGTGTGTGTGTGTGTGTGTGTGTGTTTGTGTCTGTGTGTGAGTGTGTATGTGTGTGTGTGTGTGTGTGTGTGTGTGTGTGAGAGAGAGAGTGGTGTGTGTGTGTTTGTGTCTGTGAGTGTGTGTGTTAGTCAGCGTGCATCTGTGAGCGTGTGTGTGTGTGTGTGTGTGTGTGTGAGTGTGTGTGTGTGTGTGTGAGAGAGAGTGGTGTGTGTGTGTTTGTGTCTGTGTGTGAGTGTGTATGTGTGTGTGTGTGTGTGTGTGTGTGTGTGTGTGTGTGAGAGAGAGAGTGGTGTGTGTGTGTTTGTGTCTGTGAGGGTGTGTGTTAGTCAGCGTGCATCTGTGAGTGTGTGTGAGAGAGAGTGGTGTGTGTGTGTTTGTGTCTGTGTGTGGGTGTGTGAGTGTGTGTGTGTGTGTGTGTGTGAGAGAGAGTGGTGTGTGTGTGTTTGTGTATGTGAGTGTGTGTGTTAGTCAGCGTGCATCTGTGAGTGTGTGTGAGAGAGAGTGGTGTGTGTGTGAGTGTGTGTGTGTGTGTGTGTGTGTGTGTGAGAGTGAGTGTGTATGTGAGTGTGTGTATTAGTCAGCGTGCATCTGTGAGTGTCTGTGAGAGAGAGTGGTGTGTGTGTGAGTGTGTGTGTGTGTGTGTGTGTGTGTGTGTGTGTGTGAGAGTGAGTGTGTATGTGAGTGTGTGTGTTTCTCAGCGTGCATCTGTGAGTGTGTGTGAGTGAGTGTGTATGTGAGTGTGTCGGTTTGTCAGTGTTTATCTGTGAGTTTGTGTGAGAGAGAGTGGTATGTGTGTGAGTGTGTGTGTGTGTGTGTGTGAAAGTGAGTGTGTGTCTGATTGTCTGTGTGTGTGTGTGTGTGTTTGTCAGTGTGCATCTGTGAGTGTGTGTGAGAGAGAGTGGTGTGTTTGTGTTCGTGTCTGTGTGTGGGTGTGTGAGTGTGTGCCAAGTGTGTATGTGTGAGTGAGTGTGTGTGTGTGAGAGAGAGTGGTTGTGTGTGTGGTTGTGTGTGTGTGTGTGTGTGTGTGTGTGTGAGAGAGAGTGGTTGTGTGTGGTTGTGTGTGTGAGTGTGTGTCTGTGTGTGTTTGTGAGTGAGTGTGTGTGTGTATGTAAGTGTGTGTGTGTTTGACAGTGTGCATCTGTGTGTGTGTGTGTGTGAGAGAGTGTGGTTGTGTGTGTGTGTGTGGTTGTGTGTGTGTGAACATGAACTCAGGTTTATTTCATCTTCTCACGTACAGTATGTTCTGCACTCCAAGGCAAGTTTAATTATATAGCACCTTTCAACACAAGGCAATTCAAGGTGCTTTACAAAAATAAAAGACATTCAGACAAAGGCATTTAAAAACAGTAAAAGATAATAAAAGAAACATTACAAGAAAAAATACATGAATAAAAAGTACATGAATAAAAAGTTACAGTGCAGTTTAACATATGAATAGTTCACACATAAGTTCCACTTTACTGATGAACACAACAGCTCAGTTTCAATTAAAAGCAGCGACAAAAAGAAAAGTCTTCTTGCTGGATTTAAAAGTAGTCAGAGTTGCAGCGGACCTGCAGGTTTCTGGGAGTTTGTTCCAGATGTTTGGAGCATAATAACTGAACGCTGCTTCTCCATGTTTAGTTCTGACTCTGGGGACAGAAAGCTGACCAGTCCCTGAAGACCTGAGAGATCTGGATGGTTCATCATTTAGCAGGAGGTCAGAAATGTATTTTGGGCCTAAACCATTCAGTGCTTTATAAACCAGCAGCAGTATTTTGAAATCTATTCTTTGACACACAGGAAGCCAGTGTAAAGACTTCAGAACAGGAGTGATGTGATCCACTTTCTTAGTGTTAGTGAGGACTCGAGCAGCGGCGTTCTGAATCAGCTGCAGCTTCCTAATAGATTTTTTAGTGAGACCTGTGAAGACACCATTGCAGTAGTCGAGTCTACTGAAGATAAAAGCATGGACACGTTTTTCCAAATCCTGCTGTGACATTAGTCTTTTAATCCTAGATATATTCTTTAGGTGATAGTAGGCTGATTTAGTAACAGTTTTAATGTGACTGTTGAAACTCAGGTCAGAGTCCATGACTACACCTAGATTTCTGGCTTTATCTGTTGTTTTGAACATTGCAGACTGAAGCTCAGCGCTAACTTTTATACGTTCTGACTTGGCTCCAAAAACCATTACCTCAGTTTTATCTTTGTTTAATTGGAGAAAGTTCTGACACATCCAGTCATTGATTTGTTCAATGCACTTACTCAGTGTTTGAATTGGAGCATAGTCTCCTGGTGAAATTGTTACGTAAATGTGTGTGTCATCTGCATAGCTATGGTAACTTATTTTGTTGTTGTTCATTATCTGAGCCAGTGGTAGCATGTAGATGTTAAAGAGAAGAGGCCCCAAGATGGAGCCTTGAGGTACCCCACATGTCATATTTGTCAACTCAGATGTGTATTTACCTATAGAACAAAGTTGTTTCTGTCCTTTAAGTAGGATTCAAACCAATTTAGAACTGTTTCCGAAAGTCCCACCCAGTTCTCCAGTCGGTCTAGTAATATGCTGTGGTCAACAGTGTCAAACGCAGCACTGAGATCTAATAATACTAATACTGAAGTTCTGCCACTGTCCGTGTTTAAGTGGATGTCATTAAAGACCTTTACAAGAGCAGTCTCAGTGCTGTGGTTTGGACGAAAGCCTGACTGGAACACATCAAAACAGTTATTTAAATGCAAGAAATTACTCAACTGTTGAAAAACAACTTTTTCAATGATTTTACCTAGAAATGGGAGGTTTGATATGGGCCTGTAATTGTTCATCACTGAAGCATCTAGATTATTCTTTTTTAAGAGCGGTTTAATGACTGCAGTTTTCAGGGCCTGTGGAAAAATACCTGAGTGAAGAGATGTGTTTACTATATGAAGTAGATCTGAGGCCATGCAAGGCAAAATATCTTTGAAAAATCCTGTTGGAATAATATCAAGGCAGCAGGAGGAGGATTTCAGAAGTTGTATAATGTCCTCTAGGTTTTTATCATTAATCTGATGGAATTGTGTCATGGTGTTTGAATTGATGTTAAGTGGAGAT